GGATTTGTAAGAGGGTTAGTTTTTTTTAACCTGGCCAGCAGGATATCCAGGTTTTTGGTTCTACTATTGATGTGTTACGTGGAAGATTAAGATTATTATTTAATTTCTTTCTTTGTGTCTTTTGGGGGGAAGTACAGCTAAAGATTTGGTTTGCCTTTATACTTGATTGGAGTTCTGTGAGCTCTGTATATGATGAGGATTATTTAATGTGGATGAATTTTCTGGGACACTGCAGAAGATGGATAAAACTGTCTTGAAAACTGCTTACAAGGCTCTGGGACAAAGTGAAAGTGAGTTTACTGCTGACATTCTGATCCGGGGTTCAGATGGTATCAGCCTAGGAAGAAATAAGATTACCTTTGGTTTTGAAAAGGTGCAATGAAATGCTGCTAGTAATATAATGTATAACACTATTATAGAGTGTTAGTTACTAATCATGGGATGGTTATCTTTCTCAGCCATAGACAACAGTGGCTTTAAATTGTAGTTACCTCTGCAGTTATCAGTTTTGTAAGAATTTTTTCAAGAATACTTGCTTTTTCATCTTACTACTTTAATGATGTTAATTTAAACCTGGGGGATGAGGGAAATTGTGTTACTAACATGGAAGTTCTCAACATATGTTTTCTCATCTAAATCATGTCCATCACTTTGCCATCCAAACAGGTGACGAAGAGCCTTCTTTCACACAGGGTGGATGGATGACGGAGTTTCTTTAATGTTTTTCTTCTCATCTCAAAATAGTATCTTAGAACTTTCTAAAATAACAGTATCTTACAATTCGTAGAGGAGAATGGTCCCTGAAGGAATGGGGAGGGGCATACAGCTCTCTCGCCCTCCAAAGCGCGGAGAATGTACAGGCCTCGCATCACCGCCGGCTTTGTGAAGAGCTCTCCCTTGCGGCACCCCACTGCAGCCACCAGAGGTTTTTCAGGGATCGGTGTCCTTTCTCAAAAAACAGGTGTTGGACTTGGAACTCTTTCTTTGTGACAAGCTTGTTGCTAGCCAGACTTTTCCTTTGTTTTTCTTATAAAACAGATTCTCTTTGAGCTAGGCTAGGCCATGGAGAGCACAGTAAAGTTTTTTTGGAGAATCTTGAGATGTGGCCTTTAAGACTTCAGAAACGTTCCTAAGATATGGCGGGCATCTGCCCACATGATTAGCTGTTGGTATGGTAACAATCCCCGATTAGGGAACTGCACAAGTTAAAATCCCCCTTAAGAGGCTAAAGACTTCTAGACTTAAATGTTCTGTAATGCTGCTGCTTATAAACATTTCTGCCATGAACAGGCATGTGTTTTGTTCAAGACGTGGTGGGCCAACTTCACCCGTGGGATACCCGCCGCAGGCAGGGGCTGTGCCAGGGAGGGTTTTGGCTCAGATTGTTACTGGGATTGAGAGTAAGGGATTGGAAGATGCCAACTTTGAGCGGGTGTGGGTTTGAAATGAGGAGACAGCAAGTTGTTCTTGATGCTGCTGTAAAGGACGATGTAAACTGGGAAGGACGATTACGGGGCGAACTGTGGCTGCATTATACAAGCACCATCGTCACTGGTCTGGGGATTATTGTGTGTCGTTAGGGCTGGAGGGGATGTGCTGCCGTGGATGGGTAACGTGAGAGGTCATGCTGGAGAGCCCTGTTACACTGCAGGTTTGAGTCCCTTGTAGGTTGGATGTGATCTAAAGGAACATTGAGGTACACATTTAGGCATTCTTGTTTTCAAAAAAAAAAATCAGCAATTTTTTATTAATCTTTTTAAAATTCTGACTCTTCACTTCCCCATGACTTTGTCCTTCTATTATATTTCTGTACTTTCACGTTCCTAAGTAGGGCCATTTCTGCACTAAGTGATAGCTGCTCGCTTGAATTATGTGCTTTTACCATCATGCTTTTTTTTTTAAAAAAAAAAAAAAGAGATAAAGTTGCATGAGCAAAATGAGCCAATCTTAAAGCATAAAGATGAACTTTAACCAGTTTCAGTCTTTCCTGAATTAAGAACCATGATGAAATCTTATGTAAGACTTTCTGTTCTTCCCATGCTTATATGATCCATTAATGTTTCCGTTAATCGCAGGCAGCACGTTTGTGCCCTTCAAAAGACCTTTTATACCTTATGCTGCCATCCGGGTGTCTATCCTTTAACAAAATTTGTGGTAGTTTGCATTGTGCCCAGTTGGAAGTTTTCCAAAATTTGATGTTTGAAAAAGTCTTGGAAGGTAACATAAGCCCAGCCAGAAAGCTGTTCTGCTAACTCTCTAGTTAGGGTCGTTAGTAGGGAAAGCCGTGATTGCAAGACTGGAAGCAAGCACTGGACCGTTTCAGAATCCGGTGTTTGCAGTCGAGGAAGGACTGAACAGGCAGTCTCGTTTTCAAGCTGCTGGCACCAAGATATCACGCAGTGCATGTTCAGGTGTGATCTCAAAGGTAAATACTTACAGATTTGGCCGCTCAGAACAGAATTCCTGCTGACAGCAGTTGCACTGGGCAGTTCACAGCTGGGAAGATCGAGCTGCTCGGAGACTCTGCCTCTCAGAATTTTCTTTCAGCCAGAAGTCAGTGGCAGAAGAGACTAAGTAGAGAAGTTTGAATTGCACCTAAACCAGGGAGATTCCTACCCTCCCACTGCTGCCTGAACTCGACATTTAGTGAGCATGCTCCAAAGAATATTACTCTAATTAGTCTGAGCATGCTTATTAATTATCCCGGACAGGGTAATCTGGCCTCAGTGTGGGCAGCAATGTGTTAGATTGCAAAAGTCTCGGTGTTTTATTTGCAGTCTTTGATGTATTGCATGTCTCTGCTTTGTGATACCAAACAGGAGTGTAAGGTAAAACATTTGCCCTGTGGCTTTGGTTGATTTATATAAGTGGTCTTCTTCATGACAAGAACTTGATGTCTTTTTATTGCCAAACCCCAGAGCTTTTGTGCCTGTTTATAATACTGTTGATATACGTCTGTATTCAGTTTTTCCCTTACCATACAGATCTTTTAAGCTTTGACTCAGACCCTAAGAAAAACACATTATAGGTCTGATTTCCAGTTGCCTTCAAATTGCTTTACACCTTATCGGCAGTAAAGGGATCCTAAAGAGAGTGCAAATACGGATCGAAAGTAGATTGTGTTTTGAAAAACTGCTTCTCAGAGCCTGAAAATACGGATTTCTTATGTGCTGAGCATGCTAAGCTACCAGGTGTGCTTGGATCTCTTTGTTCAACACCTTGCTGGATTTTCAGAACACCCAGATTATACAGACCAGCTCGGTGTAATGTGGTGCTAAAACCGGCACCATGTTAAGTCAGGCGACTGGTGTTGGACTCGCGCACGTCCCGGGCCGTGTGCTGAGCGCCAGGACAGTTCAGCTGTGGGGAGCTCTTCCCTTCTTGTCCTTTACAGTGGACTTGCAGTAGCAGGTTGAGGGCTGGGTGTATTGCTATGGTAGTGGCAGCCCATCTCTATTTTTCTTTTTTCTTTTTTTTTTTTTTTAATGTGGATGTGCAAAATAAAATGGAGCTCTATTCCACTTGAGAGATAGTTACTTTTTTCCTTTTATTCATAGTTTCCTTGGGCATTTAGGGATCACTCTATCGACTATTTTTTTGCACACTGGGAGCTGCTGTTCAGTTGTTTGTTCAGTGTGACTACCGAGTGCTTTTTTCAGAACCATTCCTTCTAGGCTGTGGCTCCCTGTTGTGTCGGTACAACCTGCACTTCAAGTTGCTTGTGTAATGTTCAGGTGTATTAAAGCACAACTTTGGGCCCAGCTTATGCAGAAACATCCCGCGCTCTCTCAGCTTGCCCCGTTGTCATTGTGTACAGCTTTAGCAATCTTTGTCCTCCTCAAGTTTTACTAATTATGATTTTATATTTACAGGGAGGCAACTGCTGATAGTGTTGAGTAGCGTTAGGCCTAATACTGATGCTACAGAACTGTTTGAGGGATGTCCAACCACTGGCGATCCCTTGTCAACAAACAGATGTTGGAGATCTGTCACTTAGCCCGTTCTTCATCCCCTGTATGTTTTACTAACATTATGTCAAGCTGACTTTGCATTGCGGGGCTGTGCTGCTCTTGTGCTGTCGGTTGACCCTGCTTCTCCGCCTCACTCAGCAGACAAAGCGTAAAGCAGAGAAAACAGAAATAGAAGCGAACAGAGCAGGACCGGCTATCATCACTCATGCATTAGGACTTTACAGATCATATTTAGAAAGGACAAAATCCACAACAATGACAGGCTGCACTCGTCAGAAGGGATCACGTCAGAGCAGCAGATCTTCATAAAAGCCCGGCGTACTGGAGAGATGTGTTTATTGGGAAGTGGCTCCAGCATTGTATGTGCTCACCCAGACAGAGGAGGGGGATATCTGCGGGGCAGGCCCTGGCCCAGGGCTGTGACACACTCCGTGGCTCTGTGAGAGAATGTGACTCGGGAGGGAGGAGGTTTGCTGGCCACCCTGGGGCAGCAGAACCCGCGGAGCTGGCCGCTCCCCTCCGACCCTCCAGGGACCCACGGGAATACCTGACACGGGATAACCAGGCAGGGCACTTAGTTCACCCCACTCTGCTGCGGAGCTGTAAGTGTTGGAGAGGTTAGAGCCGGAGCCACAGGCCTCTCCTGTATTTACCAGCTGGGAACCCGAGAAACCTGGAAGGGGGCACTGATGTAGCCAGGCACTGAGACAAAGAGTAAGAATCCTCCTGGGCAGCGGCAGGCCACTTGGGTGTCTTCCTGGACTGATGTCAAAACATGAACCAAGATGTTTTGTGGTTAAAGAGGTTTCAAGAGGCTTCCAATTTCATTCTTATTTTGGCAGTCTGATTATTACTTTCCTGTGCAGAAAACTTTACCATCTCATTTTGCACAAATACCACTTTTGGAATCTGTAGTCATACCATTAAAAGCAGGTCCAGCAAAGGCATAATGAGTCAGGTTACAGAACTCAGCTATGAATTTTTAATATTAAGTTCACTAGTGATTTTTTTATTTTTTTCTTCTTGCAGAGTCTGTTATTGGACACTTCGGGGAGGACAAATAATTTTGGCACCTTAGGTAAGTAAGATAACTGTATAAGATGTTCTAAGTTCAACACTGATTTTCCAAGATTTCTAAAATCAGACATAGGTTTGAAAAAACAGCCCATTTTATGAGTACTTATACTGCTGGCAATATTCTGAAGCATCTTCCGAATTGAAACTAAACTAATGCTACCCAGTAGATGCTTTGCATTTGTTTTCCTTTGATTAATTTTTTTATAGGGTTGGTTAGCTTAGTACTAATTTGAAAAATTCACTCTCTACTTCTCAGTGATTTTTATGATTGAGTCTGAACACAGCCTGCTAACGGCCAGGGAGATAGTATGGGGTTTGGGTTTGGGGGTTTTGTGAGGAATTTATTCTTGAACTGTGTGATCATCTTGCCTAACAGATAATCTGGAGCAAGAGCCTGGAGCCAGCTGCAAACACTGGGACCAGCTTTTGGATCCCCCAGGTACGTTCAGTAACACAGAGTGAGCAGTCAGTAGTATCAGACAGTTCTATCTCCCCGGTTTTGATTTCTTTCCCCTCCAAGTTCTGTTCTGCGTGCTTGGCTTTGTGTGGGCTGCGGCGGCCGGTGGCAGTGCGTTCCCCAGCAGAGGAGCAGATCGTGAAGATAAGTTTACCGTGACAGATGGGGCAGTGGTCAGAATGCTGAGGCGCTCAGTGGGAGCCCAGCACCCTGCTGCTGAACGCTGCCTCCTGGGTGGTGCTGGGCACCTTCGCCCTGCGCAGCGGCTCGCCTCAGCACGGGGACGTGGCGGGGCAGCGTGCCAGCCTACCTTTGTGTCCCCTAAACAAGTGAAATCCAGGCCTGTCTTTGTGCCTCGTTGTTAAAAATGGACACAATGCTACTGTGCTGGTTTACTAGGATTCTGTAAAATCAGTACTTGAAAGATCACGAGGTTTGGCTAGGATAGGGAATTGTAAATTCCCGAGTTGGGTTTCTAGAGTGTAATACTCTGAATAATAAGAAAACACATCTCCAGCCTGTATAGTGGGGGGAGAGAGGGAAGGGGGAGCCAACCTGTAAACACCAGCAGCTCAGGTAACTCTTGCAGCCCTTTAATTGACACTCCCTGTCTCTGAAGCCCGGCTTTGGTGGCCGTTTAACTAGTCCAGAGGGATCCAGATTCTAACTGTTGAACCGTAGGGAATTACTTGGAAAACAGTCGCAACAGCAGAAAACCCCATCTGAGAGCAGGAGCGTCGTGTCACACCGGTGTCGTTGTGGGTTCAGCCACACACTGGGTCAATTGACGAGCTTGCTAATGCGGAGTGCGAGATTAATTGGCTTTGGTCAGCCTTTGCTTCACTATCTGAATATCATTATCAGGAATGTAAATGATTATGCAATGCAGAGAAATGCGACAATAGTCTCAGTGTCTCCTTTTATACTTGTCTCTTTTTAAACAGGGCTTTATCTAAATGCAAATGTGATTTCAGCCTTCTGATTAGGACATTATACTGTCATCCATTCCAGAAAAGCACAATTAGCAGATTATTTTATTTCTGACTCAACAGTTCTTGGTTTAGATAGTTTGTATGTTGTGCTATGCATGATATTTAAGTTATCAGAAGATTTGCATTGTTAGTCAGGATTATAGCCAGATTTTGTGAGGTCAAGGGTTTTCTTTTCTTGGCAGATAGAAATGGTAACATTTGTGGGATTCGAGGGGGGATGTTTTTAGAACAAAAAGCAATAGTGCAGAATCTACTGTGCTTCATTGTCCTTTTTGTGCCAAGTAAGGGGCAAGTTGCAGTAGTAACTGTGCAGATTCTCTGATGTCGTGGGGTGTACGAGTACAGAGATTAGCCTCACCTCTTTTCAGGATCTATTCACTGTCGAGTTGTACCCAAGCAGTGCCCCGTTATCTTAGAACTTAATAGGAGGTCAGGTCATAAGATTGGTTCTCCTTGAACAGCCATTTTACCAAAATAGCCATCGAGTTTTCCACGTGCTGTGGAAATGCAAACACAGAAGTTGCATGCTCAGAAAAATCCAGACCTTTGGTGATAAACTTCCCTGCAAAGCCTGTCTGTGTCACAGAATTTGTAGCATTTTTGCAGCTATGGATCTGTCAGAACTCAGGATCTTTTTTTTTTTCTTTCAGTAGGGAAGCCTTTTATAGTATATATTTGATAACAAGACCCGGTAAAAACTTCAAATCTATTCAAGTCCAGTGCTTGTGTGAAGATGAAGGAAATGTTTTCCAGAATTCATCAGTGTAAATGCATTTGTCACATGATTTGGATTCAACAGCTCATCATTTTCCTATGAAAAATTACTGCAGTGGAAAATTCCTAATTATCTATAGTGAAATGATTTTTTCAATTCCATTGATCAGTTTAATCCTTCCATATTCATATGTTTACGTGACTGCTTCCTTGCTCTCCCCCACAGCTTTTCTTTATGCCGAAGTACGCTGTCCTGTACATTCCCAACACATGAAGGATCTCTGCCTTTGTGACAGGAAATCTATTGCACCACTTAAGTTTAATTAAAGCACAATGAGATATGATGAGTTTACACATCAAAGCCTAGAAACAACTCCGCAGATTGGCTCTAGTCCCAAACTATATTTCTGGGATCTGTATTGAATTGGGAGGTTTCAGTGTATTTAGTGGGAGTCTGTGAAATACAGGGTCAGTTTCTTGGGGTCAGTGGAACTGTACCAAGTCTTGATCTAGCCCAAAAAACCCGTGTGTTAAGTTTAGGTTCAGATCAACTTGAATCCAACTGCATAATCTAGATTTCGGTACTGGATGATAAAAAAAAAAAAACATATTCTCACAGGTTCTGTGTAAGTAACAACTTGAATCCTGTGCCCAGTTCTGATTTTCACTGAGGTCAGACAGTGGAGTATAAACCCAGGACCTATTTTATTCGGCCACAGAGTGGAGTGAGGGGTTAGTTTACCTCTAGGCGCACAGATGTATTTTACTCCCTTGTAGCTCTACTTGTGTGTTGATGAGTCACAGTCGGTGGTCACAGTACCCTATCACTGAGGTAAATTCAGCTTTTCACCTCATATCTTTAGCATGTATGTGGCTTTATCATTTCAAGAAGTAGGAGTTACTACTGTAGCAATTTTTTCCTTCCATAAATGCATTTCATTAAGGGAATTTTGATATTTCACAGATACTCTTTTTTTTTTATTTCAGGAAAGCCTAATTTGAGGTATAATACCCAGATCCCAACTTGGTCTACACTTGGGGTTATGGAATGAGTGTAGTTTCTGTCTTATTGTTATTTATGTTTGTGCATATTACATGAAAGATTAAAAAAAAACAAAAAACACTTATTCTGCATGGAGAATGCAAAAATTATGAGAATGTCAAAAGCAGTTTAAGCTGGGGTTTTTATAGAGTTCATCCATTATTTTCAAATATCCACTTGTCCTGTGGTTATTAGTGTTTTGAGACACTGTACTCCCAGAAGACCAGACTAATTTAAGAACAGAAGTGCCATGTATTCAAATTGTGGCACGTAGTTTAACCGTACAGCGATGGGGAGTGCCCAGCCTTTGCACGGGGCCGGTGAGGCAGCGCGTCTCGAGCGTTCACCGTCCAGGGAGGGTTGTTCCCCTGCAGACCCTTTCTGTACCCTGCGGAGAGCCTCTGGCCCCTGCTGACCGTGGCAGCGTTGCTCCCCGTGTCCAGTCCTGGGCTCTGGGGCACAGCAAAGAAATCCAGTGACTTCAGATATTCTTGGTTGTGGATTGCCCAGTTCAACATTCAGGTGCTAAACAAAAAAATAGCTGTATTAAAGCTTGAATTTCAGAGTCGGGAATATGTACGACTGCTGCTGAAGGGAGGAGAAAAGGAAAACATTGGTTGGAGCCCGAGATAGCCCATGTGAAGCTGCTCTAGTAAGTTAATTCCTGTGCCCTGCTTCCTCGTGACGAAGCAGTCTGTAGTCTCGGAGCCGTGTTCTCCTGTCGCTCTCAGACGCCGGAAGACACTCAGGGCATGGTAATAGAAGATTCAGAAATACACTTAAAAAGCTAGATAGATGTCTGTGGGTGCAACACCTCTAAATAGTAATCCTTACACTTCAGTAATCTTTTGTCACAGACTCTAGAAGGTGCTTTATTCTTTAGAAAGGTGACTTGATTGATCGCTGTGAAAGGCTGACAGATAAAGCTCCTTGACAATCCCTGGGCCATTAACATGGCGTGTTTTCTTTTCTGGCATGCCTTGTAGCTGTCTTCTGGTTTTTGCATTTTTCTTCTTTTTTATGACTGTATCTGTTCAGGCAGTTCTTGTTCAAACGTGTTGGTAAAGCAGAGGAATATTGTTAGATACATAGAGGGCATCCAGCCTTTACTGAAAAGGTCTTGTTTCCCCCGTGTCATTTCATATGGTGAAAAATTCAAGGCTACCAAGGAAAGGCGACATGTATGTTACTGTGTTCTTTAACTTCTTGTTATGAAAGAAAAGTAAATCTAGATATTGCTAAAAAATATACCAGTTCCTCCGAAAGAGACAAACATTGACATCTCCTTCTATAAACTGAATATTGTTGTGACAGAATCCCTTGAACTGTCAGTATGTGTCAGGAATATTTCTCAGGCTACGTATATTGTTCTTGGTCTTGTTACCTGCAGTGCTAAGTGCCAGGGCAACCCCAAAATACTTCAAGAAGGTAATACCAGGTTTTTGGCAAGTGTTTTTATTAAAGTATACTTTTTATTGAAGTATTTTTGGGCAACCCCGAAATACTTTAAGAAGGTAATACCAGTTGAACACTGACAGTTCAGTGTAAATGGTAGGGGAGAGGGAGCCAGATGTCAGGTGAAACTAAATATCCTAAGCAGGAAAGGAAAGCAAATGCATTTGCATAACAAAAGAAGATGATTTTCAGTTTCATTTGTGACACATAGCATGGGTGTACAGAGATCACTGGCCAGAGTGAAGGGAGAAACTGAAGGGGAGGGGACCAGAATCGATCTGGAAGTCCGTTTGTATTAGAAGGGTTCCTAAGAAAACAACTTTAGAAAAGGAGTTGAGGAAGTAAGTTGGTGCTGAGAGTGATCCCAAGGGTGGAGTGCGAGGCGTGTGCTGGAAGGATGCCCTCAGCTGGCTCTGCTGGAGGAGAAGCCCGGGGGTCGAACCCCGTGTTGCAGCTAGAACAATAACAGCCCGTACTGCACCTGCCTGAGGAACCTTCAGCACTTGGCAAGTCAGACGGGCTGCTCTGCCCTGAGGTGTTCAGGGTGCCTGAACAAAGGGAGAGCCACTCTGAAACAGCTCTGATGATATTTGATGTTATCTGATGTTACTGCCCCAGCACTGGAAGAGTTCAAAGCCCCATCAGGTCAGGCGGGGCTTCGAGCAGCCTGACCCTGCCCGTGGCAGGGGGGCTGGACTAGATGATCTTTAAAGGTCCCTTCCAACCCAAACCATTCCGTGATTATATTTCTGTGTTCAAAATGGGACACAGACTTGGAATCATGCTATCTAATTTAGGGTCGTAACTGCAGGATCCATATTATAACTTTTGTTTTGCTACTCCTTCAGCGTTCAGTGGAGAGGAGGGCAGGGGGTAACTCGGTCCGTATATTATTTGAGTTACGTTTTGGAGTTGCTTATCCTTCTACTGGTTGGAATGGAAATGCAGGAATCTCTCTACTGGTTACTGAGAGTACGGTCACCCCCTCTGCTCAAATGCCGAAGTGAAATGAATCCAAACCAAAAAATGCACGGAGCTGATGCCCAGCATAGGTTTCATTGCAAAGAGAAAATGATATTTTAGAGAAAACAAGCTATGAACATTTTGAAGCCTGGGGGTATTCTGATCTGTATTTTAAGCTGAATTGTTTAGGTACAGCCATAATTAGCATGTCTTGAGTGCTTGGAAAGTGAGCTAGCAATTGGACAAGTCAGACTGAAGCCATTTTGAAAAGTCAGCTCTTGGTCTATATTTCTGAATTTTTGTAACATCTTTCTGCCCTACATATGGTTTTTTTGGAAAGGACCCAATTCCTGTAGTGTGTGAGGCCAAATGGCTTTTATTAAACAAATATGAAAAAAACCAGAACTGGAATCAAACAAGCAGAATCAAAAGATTGTAGCAGTATAGAGCCAACTTATTGCCCTTGTGATGGGAGAATGGTTTTCTAATTGTTCGTGAAAGCTAATGGAAACCATATTTTGGCTGTGAATAATTCTCAGGAGGGGTCATTGTGAAGTCTTACCTCACCTCTTGTGCTTTACTGATAGAACATATCAAGTGTTCAAAGGCAGACACACCCCACGAAGCTCAAAGTGCAGGAAACCACTGGTCGGTTTTAGACACTAGAGGAAGATGGGACTCTGCTTTACTGACACCTCGCTGACCTGTCAGGCGGGTGCAGAGGTGCCTTTGCTACGGCATGGCAGTTGTGGGAAGAAGGGATAACTGGCAGAGGGTAAAGGTTATGATGACAGAATCCAGGAACCAACTAATTAAGATTTTTCTTGCCCGCAAGACCTCGTGATATCACGCTCAGCTGTGTTGAGAGAGGGAAGTGTTTGAAAACTTGCTCCAGTCAACATAATCTGCTTCTGTTTCCTGTAACTAAAAATCGGAAATTCTCCTTTTTGCATCTTGTCCATGGAATCTCTCCTAAGGGTTATACCACTTCCGTTCCCAAGATCTTTATTCCAGACTTTAGTAATAACAACCAAATCAAAGTTATTATCTTAAATGTTACATTTGATCCATCTTTTGTCTTTTCATGATGTGTGTTAATCCTTCTTGCACTGGATGGGGCACTACCAGCACAACGCTAAACAACAGGATTTCCATTTGCCGTATTTGACAGTGACATCCCCCATTTATCCGCCCTGGGAATGGCCTTGGCAGCTTTTCTGTCCAGGACCCCCTGAACAGGTAGTCATTAACCTAGGATTGATTAAAGAAGTGACCAGACTGAATCTTGTGCAGGTAGTTGCCAAGCTGTGTTGCGTTAGCTCCAACAGAAAGTCATCACAGCCGTTGGAGTGGTGTCTACAGAGCTTGGGGTCCAACAGCCTTTTTTTGTCTGTTTAGGGGTTTTTATAACAATGGAGTCAGGTCAAACCGCACCATACATGGGTCCTTCAGTTCAGCAGTCACAAAAAATGTGGCCTATTGGTAATGACCGTCAAATTGGGATTTTTGTGACTTTTATGGTTATTTTCCACTCGGGAGTCGGTCGCTGTGATCAGCATTTGTCTTGTACCGTTTGTCGAAAGGGCTCTGCTCGCTGGAAGTGTTGCTAAAAGGATTTTGAGTAAAGTCACAACTGAACTATGCAGAAGCCATTTCAGATGTAAGGAAAGCTGTCAGTATGTATAAGCAGGAAAGGGATCCTGACACATGTTCTTCAAAGGTTTATGCCTGTTAATCCTATCGTATATCTTAGAATTAGTTTTAATAATTTACATCATCAGCTCATGAGATAGTAACCCTGTTAAGCACTTCCTTCAGACAGTCATCTTTTTCCCTTGGAGGATAGAAAAGCTTTTTCTGGTGCCATCAGAACCTTCCTTAGGGGCTTCCATAACACCCATCAGCTGTGACTCACTATATATCTGTGGGTCCTTAAAAAATAGTGTTATAAAACTTGCCTGTTGCTCTCAGCTAAGCAGGTGGTGAGCTATATTGTGTGCTCTATTAGTCTACACAAAACCAGGCTCATATTACTGTCACCTCCTCCCCATTCCCATCCCACCTGTTTGGCTCATCTGCCTTGTTCTGCCTCATCTTATGACTTGTCATTAGTCTGCCTTGTAAATTCTTTGTGGCAGAAACTTGTTCATTAGACATGTGTGTATATATAGTAACCTACCGTGATAGAGCCTGAATCCTCGGCTGAAGCGTATGGGCACGATTCCCGTACAGTTAATAATGCTAATACTGCAAGGCTTTCTCTCTCTCTGCCTGTAGACAAGAAGCTCTGCCACAGGAACAGCTCCCTCTAGTTTTACAAGATGTTGCTTTTCACAGAAGATAGAATCAAAAAAAAAAAAATCAGCACAGCATGGATTTCACCCAAGCTTTCAGCACTGGACAGAAAAAATAATGAGGTGCTCGGATACAACTTTGTACCGTGGCTTTGTGCCGTGAGTAAAGCCATGTTGTAGAGGCCCATCCCTCAAGAGTAAGGCACATTCTGCATTTTTGTCTTTGAACTCCTTCGTTTTCTTCACATAGAAGAATACTTTTAGTGCCTAAAACACTAAAGATTTGCAGTGACCTCTCCCACTGTAAATCAGCATAACTCTTGTTACTGATACAGAGGGATGCTGATTTATATCTACTTAGTGATAGGCTGAGGTGGAATTTTGTTTTACCGAAAATACAGATTACAGTCATGCATATCCCATGATGATGGGTATTTTATAGGGACATAGTGAGGAGATTTTCCCCACTGCAAGAAGAGCTAGTCTATGCAGATACACAGCCCAGGCATGCAATAGCCCAGTGTTCTATTTTGAAATAAATTTGGCCTAAGGACTTAAATTACTCAAGAAAAAGGGAAAAAATACTCCAGATTATGAGTAAGTATCATAACGGGTGCTAAAATAATGCCGTACACCTACTTCATTATTCAGTTATTTATTATCTTTATTCTTAAGAGTAATGATGTACAAGTGCTTTTTTCCCAAATGTTAATTTAGCTCTCTGCAGATGGTAACCATCTGTTAAATGACAAGTTACAGTATTTGATTAGCACTTTATATAGCTTGGATGGACTTATTGTTACAATATGTAAGTGTAGTTACAGAGGTGAAACTTGTTAGATTTGTTCTTTTCCTGTTGCTGTTACCATAAAAAAAAAAAAGAAAGACTTCAAAACCATCAATATTTTTGCCTGTCTTCTCCTATATTTATACACCTTATTCCAAGTTAAAACCTGACGTTCATAGGCCAGTTCACAAGATACTCTTGAGAATGACAGTCCTGGGGAATATTGTTAAATTCCAGCACCTTTTGTGGTAACTCTGAGTGTCCTCGGTGAGGGGGGGCTCTTAAGGATGCTCGAGCACTGGAAGCTTGGGTGAATCCAGGAATTGTGGCTGATCAAGGAGATAACTCCCTCGGGGCTGTGACACTGCCCGGTGTCCTTATCGCAGCTTACGCTGTGGGTCTTTGAAAACTAGGACAAAATGCAATACTGCAATGCACCTTAACATCACTGTGATAAAGTGATCTTGCATGAACTGCATGCTTGTGTGTTGTAACACCTGGGCCGATGACATCTAACCCCCATCTGTCTATAAACTGAGCAAGTTCGGATTCATGTCGTATTGTGTTTTCTTCTAAAGTTTCTTCGAGTTATGCTGCTAAATCTTGATTTGCTGGCCCGGTTTTCATTGTGGTAAAATTACTTCACACTTTTACTGCTGTGTTTTTCAGTAAGGTTCGTTAGGTGTTTTGATCTGTGATTTTTTTTTTTTAATTTTTTTTTTTTAATTTTATTTTCAACAGTGAAGAACCTTGATCATGGCCCCGCTGCCGAACGCTGAATTAGTCCAGAACTCCTTGCAGTTATATCGTTACCTGCTTCGGTGCTGTAAGCAACTTCCCGAAGAGAATATTCGTCAGCATTACAGACATGCGATCAGGCAGGTGAGAAGCAGACTTCTCTTTGCTGGTGGAATTGAGTGTTGCAGGGTGGTTTTGGTTTTTTCTTCTCCTACAGCTCGAACCAACTTTTTATAACTCCTGGCACCTAAAAAATTATTCGTCTGCGCTTGAACCATTAGTGGATTTCCAGGATTATACTGGGAGTATGTAAAGGAGCATTTCTTTGTTTGCTTTGAACCTGAAACCTTCTATTTTCCTCGGCCTTCCTCTCTAATTCTTGTGTTAGTCAAGAGAGTGAACAATCATTCCTTACTCACCTAAACACGTCTTTTATGGTGAAACTTACTGGTTCCTTGTCAATTTTTAATATCTATATCCTGCCCCTAACCCCCCCAGCTGGGTAACTCTCATCTAATTGTTCACATGGAAGTAATTTCATGCCTTTGATCATACCTGTTGTCCTGTGTCTGTCTAGTTTTAGCATACCAGACAATTTCAGTCGTTCTGAATTGAAATTCTCGGGGGGTTTTTTGCTGATGATGTATGAAAGGAGTAAAATAATATGAAATTACATTTGACCAGAGTTGCTAGGACCAAAGCACAGCCAGGAGCCACAATGTGTATTTTTACCTTTTCAGATCAACCGTTTGTTTTGCAGCAAATATTTTCTTCGAGATTTAAGTGATCCTTGTTGTGACAATCCTTGTGTTAAGTTGATTAGTCAGTGTAACTCTTTGAATGTTGCAGAGCTTCAAAGTTCATGCTGACGAAGACGATCCTGAGCGAATCCAGCAGATTATTAAGAGAGCCATTGAAGATGCTGACTGGGTTATGAATAAAGTAAGTGCCTCAGATTGTCCAAATTTCACACTCTCAGTTCAAATCAAAGAAGGAAACATCAGAAAGCAAGTTAGGAACAGTAAACCGGTCCACTGTCCTGCAGTGTCTGGGTGAAAGGAAATACCTAGCCACTAGGGATTTATGATTGTGATCGTTCTGCTTCTAAAGTTCTCCTTTGTCAATAAAACTTACATGTATTTTTTAAAACCAGTGATGCTTTAAGTTAGTCTCTGTTTAAATCTTTGTTTCCATGAAGATTCTGTTAAATTTCAGCAGCGGTGGCTAGTATAACTCTGTAATAAAAAAAAAAACAACAAACCAACCTACAATATTCTGCAAGCTTCAGTTTGTTGATCTCCATCAGCTGCTCTCCTAGCAGGGACCTGTCCTCTCTTAGTCAGTTGATGTAAGCTCCCAGGAGGATTTACCTTTTTCCTCCTATCTTGCCTGTCGCTGTGCAGATCAGGGTTAGACAGCATAGTGGCAGAATTGTTGTAATTGGATTTCCTGTGCCACAGTCAGCACCCAGCAGATGTGCCTCTTCACTCTCAGCGCTGAGAGACACCACTCAAACGGCTTTCTTAGATAAAAGAATGAAGATTGTTTACCATTAGGCAGCTGAGTGTCACCTGTACTGCCTTGGGTTTAAATCCGGTTGGGGAGCATGATATGTTGTCGTGGATGTCTCAGAGTATAATGAAACAAGTCAAAAGTTCAGCTTGCTCTAAATATCTGTGATTTAATTTACTAAATGACTGTTAAGTCTTTCTCTCTGCCGGTCCATGAAATCCAAATGAGAATTGTTACAGGAGCAAGCACAGATTAGTCATAGATTATAAAATTATGGCAGTAGCCAAATCCCGGCAGTTACAGCCTAGTAAATAACTGTCTGTGCCTGAATCTGATTTCATTCTCCCTACAATTATGAAAAGCTTCATTCTGATTCTGCTGCAGAGATTGTAGTCTGCTTCTTTGGAAGCCTGGTAATTGAACTGTGGGAGAGGAGGATCAGACTCACAGTGCCTGCCAAGAAGCATTATTTTATATTGTGGAGAGAAAGCCTATCAAATTTCAATCTAACTTAAAGGAAACCAAGATAATTTTATGTAAATCATGAAGAGGGTTGTAAATCCTTGTCCGTATGAACTGTCGTTTTTAGTTATGCGCTCTTTCCCACGAATTATTTTCTTTCTTTTTTTTAGTATAAAAAACGGGAGTAGAAGAGGAATAATGAAGACAATGTCATTGGTAAACATCCTTGGAGGACTTGCAGTCAATCCTAGTACTATATTATTGCCTGGAGTTTTCTCTTAGATAAGACAAATACAGTAAGTTATATCTCACTGGGATGTCATGAAGCTGAATTCCTATTTCTGAAACTATTTGAGTCTGTAGACTAAAAGGCACAGTCTAGGTTCAACGTATTAGTTTATTTAATCACAAACTGTAGCTTAAAGCCCAAACTTGTCTAAGCTTATTGTGCAGGGTATTCGGTGGCAAGGGTCTTCTGCATAGGTAACGGTGGCTTTAAGTCTGTTATGTCGGATCATCCTCTGTCAGGAGCATAAATTACGTTTTCAGAGTGAGGCGGAGGAATGACCAGAGCACAGGCCTGGTTTTTATCTAGCAGCAGACACAAAAGCATAGGCTACTGCGTGGAGAACATACCCACCAGAACTTTAAACCCATCTCAGACCTGAACCACAGGATTTTCCGCTCGCCTGTCAGTGCTACGGCCGTACTTTCACTCTACCCTGAGGGTTTGCACTTGAACTTGGTTGCCTTTTCTTATTTAAAGATAGGTGCCTGTCCCCCCGATCTCTCAGCTCTCCAGAAAAAGACAGACTGTGTGCACTGAATGGTATAATCACTGATATGTGCCATGTTGGACAGCCATAACGGCCTTCACAACTCTTTGGAACATATAATAAATGACCTTTAAAAATGGGAGAAATGGGAGTCCATGTCCTGTTTTTTAAAAGACCGTCTTTTCGCTGCCCTCATAGAATTTTGCCAGGGAAAACTCAATAGAAATCCTAGCTATCTTAAATAAAATTCATCTGGGGGTAAAAGAGTCTCCTTTTGAAACGTGACCTTTGCTTTTAGCTGTGTTCTAACTTTATGCCTCGAGGTGGCAGTGCATGCTGCGACGCGTGCCCGAAGTCCTCAGTCTCCGGGGTTTGGGGTTTTTTTACTGTTTCCGAATTGTTGAGCTTCCTCACCTGCCAAAATGGAACTCAAGCACGCGCTAAGGCAGATCTCTTATTAGGCTTCAGATTTTCTTTTGTGTTTTTCTTCATTCAGCCGTGAAAGAAACAAAAAGAAAATCCTAGCTCAAAATAGTTGAGGGGAATTTGACAAGTGCTATAAAAGAAACGGGGGCCACAAGTATTTATACCATGAAGTATCGTATCAAAAAATTTCCTCTGCTAATCCTAAACTCCCCTCTTCAAGAATTCCTGCCCTCTTGTTCTTTCTTCTGCCATCACCACTATTGTTCCTTTCTCTAGTCCTGCACCTTTCATGTCACCTTATACACCCTCAGCTTTTGCTCTTGTTCTACATATTCCTTAATTCTGTTCTCTCTCATCCTGTCTCTCTACATTTCTTTCTCTCCCTCAAATTCTTTTCTGACAGGTGCATCAGGAGATGCTCAGGTATTATGCGGGGGCCATCCTTCTGCTTGATTTCAGGCAACAGAATTTCTCAACAAAGTAGGTGTAAATTTTTCTTCTGTGAGGAAAGCCACTCATCCTTCTACTTAAATATATTTTTTTGAAAGTGCAGCCATTCTGGTTAAAACTTTCAAAATAATTTGATGCAAGGTAGAGCATAGGAAACTTCAGCCTTGACAAGGAATATCCAGTATTAAACTGAACGCTGCAATAAAAAAGCTGAAGCAAATTTGGTAGTGGATGAATGTGCTACTTGTAATCAAGAACAGCAAACAGGTGGCCCGTGCTGTGCTCCAGTTCTGTTACATATTTGATCTGTAGCGTGGAGAAGTTTCAAACTTTAAACGAAAAAAAGCTGACAGTGCTTGCTAAACTGTGGAGGCAACAAAGGATAATGTCAATAAAAAGGGACAAGCCTGTTCTATTCATAGGGTTTAGTTTCTTTTTACTCACTTCAAATGAGTTCCTCATTTCAGTACTTGTATATCATGCCAGTTCTGGTAAGTAATGGACTGTTGATAAGTGTCTGCAATAATTGAATGATGAAGGGTTTGTCGGGAGGTCACGCCAAAGCCCCAGTTTTTCGTGGCCCACTGATAGGTACTCCCATCGTAACCGCTCGGTCACCAGCATCACCCGCGGTGAGGAATAGTATCACCTGGCCATTTGTTAGCCTGAGGGTTTTCACTGGGTCTCCAGAATGTAGTTAATACATTTGGGTAAACAACAGTTTTGCAGCTGGTTACTGTAAGACCTTGAGTCAGTAACTGTTAAGACCTCCTCTAGACCGAGGAGTTGAGCGGAACAAAGGTTGTGTACAGGCAACTTGGTTAATCTAGAGAGGGGGTTTCATAGGAGGCTGGTTGTGCAAGACGAGCATTAGAACAAGGAAAAGACAGTTGGGAGACTTGTTTAATAGGTTGGGGTTATGCTTCTAACTCTTGAAGTATGGAGAAACAGATTGTTTAGATCACACTTTAGCTAAGGAGAATGAGAAAACATTTCTTAGTCACTAGCTCCAGGTTATAGACTTAGCAACATTCAGTCTTAGGCCAGAACCAAACTCGGTGCTATACTTTCTATACAGATGTAACATTGGGAACCGAAAGCTGAAGTCATGTGTAAATAATCTGTACAATACGAATATGGGTAACACACCTAGAAAGGCTGGAAAGTGGCAGTAGGTTAGTCAGTGGGTTTTGTTCAGTGTATGGGTTCTTGCTCTTAAGCCCGCCGATAAATTGAAAAGAATCTACTTGTGTTACCACCAGTCTCGGAGCCTCACATAGAAGCCTTCTGTTTAGCGAAAACATTTCTTCTTTCTTTTTTTTTTTTAATTTGTTTATATCAGGTTTTGGTGTGGGAAAGATTGTGATTTGTGGTTTATCTAAAATACAGGATAGTATTCTGCGCTGCGCGTGGTTAGAGACGTGCATACTTCTGTCGCATTCTTATGTCAGAAGCGTTACTGATTTCAATTCACTCCTGCCACTGCAAGTCATCTGAGCCCTGTGGGTACTGAGTAGAATTCTTCCAGCCCAAGCCAGGCTTTGCCTAGCACCATTTGTCAATAATTGAATATTTTGTAAATCATTCTTTAGCACTTTGTAAACTCTTTTTCTTTCGGTTCGTTATGTCACAGGTACTGCTTTTTTGTTCAGAGACACGTGAGCTGAAGAATTTGATGCTAAACAAAGCCCGTCTCTTCTGTGGCGTTTGGCTCGCTTTCAGATGTCATAAGGAAGTGATCTTTACTGTGATACTATAAAGAACAAGCACACACGCTATTTCTGAGAAACAATATTCACTGTGATCTCTTTTATTTTTTTAGGGGAGTTTCTTATGTGAATGGCTTTGAACTTGGCATTACAGGTTGTGCCTCCCTGTAAAGCTTTGATGCAAACCGGGCAGGCAGCACAGCGGCTGTTAGACATCCAGCACCCTAACATCCATTTGTTATGAGCCCTTGACCTTAAACTGTGAGCACGAGTCTTTAGAGCTTTGTGCTCCACAACGCAGCACCCGCCAGCGGCACCCAAACTAGCATAAGTTTATCTGAAAAGTGTGAGGAGTCTCCTTGCCAAGAACCGTGTCCTAAAGCGGGTCAGTGCCGCCGGAGGGGCTGGATGCTGCGCTGTGCTGCCCGCTTGCTCAGCCGCTTTGCTGCGGTCGCTCCCACCGTTCGGAGGTGATGTATTTCTTCTTGAGCAGGAGCCAGCTGGCGCATCTTTCAACTTTTGTATTATTTGATTAATTTATCTCGTGTCGAGCCAGGTTTTATGAAATAGTGTTAACTGAAGTACACACTAGTCGTCAAGTATTCCTTTCAGCTTGTGATTAATCAGGGCAGACACATTAACTTTAAAAAAAAAACCCAACCTGCTCTTTGAAGAATATTTTCTGTTTTCCTCACAGTTGTGTTTGGTATTTAAAATAGCTTTTAAAAGTTTAGAAACAGAGGCATCTGTCACGTGGAGCCAAGAGCTTCACAGTGTTTGTGTTTACCACTGATTGGAGAGGTCCCTGACACTGTGCACTTAAGGGAGTAATCCCGCACACGTACGCTGGGAGGTTAGGAAGAGGACAGGTCTGCAGCTGCTGTTTATTGTCCTTACCTGTGATCTGAGAGGCCGAAGAAGGTAACTTCCCTTCTCGATTCTGTAGCCTATCAACCTGGGTGCCTTTTCCCCCAGAACAATCTGCCTTCCTATTCTGCATGAATCTGTTTTGGAAAGGATTAACTGGACTTATTTTTTTTTTTATCGGTAACTTCTGAGACAGCTTTGGGTGCCTCACTACCTTCTATGAAATATTTTCTTTCAGCCACTGCTCCCAACATTAGGTCGAACTGCCTGTCATTACCTGTGTGTTTCCTTCTGCTGGGGTTTCAGCTTCATCTGTTTAAAAAAAATGGTGCACTTCACGTCCTTTTATTATTACAGCTTATTTTTTGCACAGCCTCTGGTATCCTTCTTGAAAGAAGTTTAAAAATGCTGATGTTCTGATTAATATTTCCTGCCATTTTACAGAATTGACTTTAAAGGATTACAGGATTGACAATAAATTCTTGCAATTGATTGTGTTGACTCTTGTTCTGTGTTAGGTAACATTACACAGGATCTGGGACTTTCTCATTCCCTTCAATTTTCTCAACAGTCATTTTATCCACAAAGTCAGCTGTATCTCAGCTGGTATGAAACAAGGAACAAGGAAAATCGTGTGTTTCAAAACAAATGTCAAACAGAAGTTAGTAATCTGGAAAAAACTACATCATGACGGTGGACACAGGCAAAGGCTGTGTTTGCTGGAGACACCTCCCTGGCACTCGCCAATCCAAGGACTGACTCTTCATGGCTAAAAATAGAGTATTTCTTTTTCCATAATTGTGAAACTGCAAAGGACTGCTTTCTCTTTTATTTTCTCTGTTTTGAAATCCTCTTCCTAGAATTCACGAAATGGTGTGTTTAACCCGAGTTTACAGTGCAGAAAGCAGACACCTGTTGGGTCTTGGAGACTTCCCTCCCTGAAGAGCTCTGTAGAGTTTGTGCTCGCTTAGCTGGAAGTATCTCACAGGGTAGGTTGCAGCTTTATGGCCAAGATTTTCAAAAGTAACCCTCAGATTGCTTTTAGGCGCTTAAGTTAGGAGACCTTAAAAATTTATACTTGGCGATAGCCTTACACATTTCACTGTGTGCTGTGTAACCTCGGGGAGATAAGATCACTTCCCCGGACTGGTATTGCATGTTCTGTCTTGTCCACTTGGGTTACATGGAAGGGTCTCTGGTTCACTGCTTAGTGATGCGTACTTAAACCACAGTTAACAGTTGGGTTGTCACGGGCAAGACAAGAGTCAACATCTGCTTAGAGTGGATCTCGGTACTGTTTGGTTTTTTAAGAACCAATGAGAGCTCTCAACATCCCTGATGCTCTCACATACTTATTCGCTCCTACGCCGCGTTGTGTCCCCCACCTTCCCTTAGCCTGATGTCAGTGCACAGAGCACCTCTCTCACTGGCTGGGACGCTGTTGGCAAGTAGCAGTAAGATGGTTATTCCCTTACTTGCATGACTCCGAATTAGGAAGGTACTAAAATGGTGATGATCATTTTACAATTATTTCAGAAGCACAGTTTTAAAATACAGAGATCTCCAAGTTCTGCTCCCACAGACATAATCCAGCCTATGGGATCTCACAGTTGCACTAAACCAAGTCTGGTAATTTCTAATTGATTAAATGCAGTGAAAAGGCATCCAGTGTGTGTTATGAAATTTAAGAGGCGAAGAGCCAATCCCTGCCTTCTGCAACTTGTTCATCATCCTCAAAGTTAATTCATAAGCAAAGCTGCAGGGTTTATAGCTGATGTAATAACACAGGGACTGTACACAGTGTGAGTGGTGTTTAGCATTAAAAAAATAACTTGAATGAAATACATGTCTGGTTGGGAGAGGAACAGAACCGTAACCTCTTTCATCTAACAAAGATGCTTTAAAAGGAACAGGTTGGGTACCGTACTGACTTCATTGGGCTATGTGTGGGAGGGATTTTTTTTTATTTACTATTTAGTAAGTGTTTTCAATTTTATAAGTATCTGAAAGAAATCACAGATCATGATTATGTAACTGCCCTGTAGAACTCTCTGGATTTCATAGGGACTGCCTGTTAGAAGGGAAGCTGGGAAGCACAGCGGCTGCTCTGTCAACGTCTGTCTTGGTCTCTAAGAACACAAGTGCTCGAGACAATTGCTTCCCAGGACGTTTACTCTTCATGCTGCTCATGGCTTCTGAGCCAAAGCTGCTGAAATCCGAGGGAAAGACTCGTACGTACCTCAGGGAGCATTCACCATCTTACACCACTTTTCGCTACCTTGAATACTTAGAGAAATGTACCGTGCTTAATCACGTTGACCAGAATTAAAAACAAACAGCTTTGTTTACCCAGTTTTACAAAACATAGTCTCTGTGGTAATCCAGAGGGGCTAAGTCCAACAGGTGGGACTGATGTGGAGGATGGATTTTGCTTCAAGGAAGCAAAAGCATTACTCCTAGTTACAACTGCTCCCTAAGGAGAAGGCATAAAGAGGATTCGGAAGGTTTTTTTGACCCCTAATAAGTTGCTTTAATTTCCCATGCTCATTCGCTCTTTTGGAAAAGTAAACAGTAAATGTCGTGCTGCTGCCTTCTGTGCTAAAGAGCTACATTCCCTTTTTCTCGTTTTCAACTTTATCAATCTTAAAACCTGCAGTCTTTTTCAAAACCAGCTGATGGATTGCTGATCATTAGTTTATAGTGTGCTCGTCTGTGTGTATCAGTGCTGACCTTGAATAGCACTCTGATGGAAGTGATCACTCAGTCTCCATCATGTGTTCACTTCTACTTAATCAGAGCTAGGGTGGGGTGAGGTTTTTTTTTGCAAAATGATCGTTTAAGTGGGTAGGAACTGATCTGAGAGGAGGAACTTACTACAAAAACCTCCCAAAATCACACATGAACTACCATTTCTGAGTTCCTTATCCAGAGCTGTCAGCCCTTGCGTGGGCAGAAATTTTGGGTCTTATCATTATGCACTTGTGAAACAATCTTTCCTGATACGGTCGTTCCACTAAATCAAGATATTGTTAACTGTGAGGATTTATCTCTTGCCACTCGGAAGTCATTTCGGGGTGCTATTCATCTGTCTTTCATACATGCGGGTTTGCTTTTTCCATTGAAAAGCAATGGGATTTTAAAAGCAAAAATGAGAGGAAATCAGGATCAGAGATGTTATGTTGGCTGAGGGGTTTGACTCTTCCTGGAAATACGGGAGATATTGATCCCCAAAAGCCCTTCTAGGAAGATGAACGACGTGTTCTTTCAGTGAATTCTCAGACTGTAAAAGTCTCAGAAGCTGGTACGTGAGAAGAGGGAAGGAAAATAACGTGTTATTCAGCTTGTGCTGGTCAGAGCTGTCTTGAGCTGCTTAACCATACCGACAGTGTTGTAAAGTCACAGAAAATTCCCCTTTACGTTCCCTTCTGCCAGGTCTCAGATGACTAAGCCAAAACTAATCATTATAAAAACAAGAGGAGGCACGAACATACTTTTGACCAAAAATCTTACGGTTTCTGGCATTTAACAGTGAAGCACAGTCTACATCAGTTGTTTTGGTTTGGTGGCTGTTGTTCAAATACCCCCTTAGTGCGATAGTTAGATGAAGCATTTAGACTGCATGAAGTGATTAGTTTGCATCTTATCCTTCTTGGGAATAGAGACAAAAATTGTTATGGATAATAATAGCACCTGCTGATTAATCTGTAACAATCCTTTGATGTTTGTACTAGAGCTGCTTATTATGGGTTAAATCCTATGACTTACCCCAATTCATAAAGCCATCCATCACTTTCTAGAATCTGTCTGCATTAGTACATGTTATCCTACATATTTCTTACTTTTAATAAGTGACTTTTCAAACTCCCAAGTGATGTTCCCCCTCCAAAATGCAGCTTCAAAGGCTGTCCTCTCTGTCAGCGTGGTCAAGAGTTGTGTGAATAAGCATCATCTTTGCTTGTCAAATGAAAAACAAGGAACGACCTGGTCTGACCTTGCTTGGAGCAAGAGGTTGGACTAGGTGAAGTGCTGAGGTCCCTTGCAACCTGCATTCTCCTATAATTCTGTGCATGATACGAGTTCCTTTCCTGACTTTATTTCAGCTGTGGGAGCTACGGTTGAGGAATTGTCCATAAACCCCATCACTATTCAGCATACCCTATTTCACCAACTGCCTAGAGCTCACCTGCACGTTGGTTATCCTTGCTAGGCAGTTCCAAATGAGGAAACAGTTGTTTTAATCAGAGACGGAGAATTAGTCACAATATGTATGTACATGTTCCTAAAACATACCTTTTGTGTGTAGCAAGGACACAAGCCCCATGTTCTAACAGCACTGCCTGAATAGGAGTTTGCCAGTTAAAGACTGCGTGCCTCCGCTGAGTGACGACTGAGGATTCATGCTTCTCCAGTTCATCTAATCACTGCAGGATCAACAAAGAAATGAAAAAAAACACAGAAGATGTAGTGAGAAGATATGTTCAGACTAACATCTTTATTTAGTTTTGTGATAAGAGAGAATTTCCCAAATTAGTCCAAATATTTACTCCATTAATTGAAATTGGCAGCAGATCGGCAGAAACTTGCTTTCTGGAGGACTCCACAGAGACTAACAGGGTAAATTGTATTTCACTATGTAAGTATTTAGCTGGACTTGCAGCTCAAAATCAATGAAAACCAACTAAAAAGACTCTAAGGCTCTGAAGATGATGAAGAACGTGCCATGGAAATTAATCTTAAAATGGCTCCGCTAAACAGATAGAATTTGAGATTTTTTTGGAGCAAGCGACCAAGATGCCCAAGGATTCTTTCTCAATGTGAAGCAGATCAACTGCAACAGCCACAAACATGGTGAAGTGTTCAGCAGGAGGGTGCCCTCTCTTCTGGAAATCAGTTTGTAATTCCTGTGAATTCATTTTAGCGTCCTTCAGCAGACCAACATCACAGACCTTTTGTGGAAGGAAAATGTCTCACAGTTGCTTCATAGAGAAAGGACGTGCTTTCATGGCACAAATAAGGAAGCAGTACATGTTCAGAAGACAGAAATAGTGATGAGTGTGCTTTTATTTTCTCC